TTTAATTATATCTTGTATATTAGATAGTATTAGCTAGTAATACTATAATAATTTTATATCTGAAAAATGTATAAAAGAACCTACTATCCCAGCTGAAATAAACAGTTTTCAAAAGAATTGTTTGGAACATATAAATTATACTAGTACCCTTTCTTAGTTTTGAAAAATTGTTTGAAAAATATAATTATTATATTAGTACTCTTTTTTTCATTTGGTTTTATTCCTTTGATCACATAAAGTTGACTTGGATTTTTGGATTAATGTTATATTGATTTTTAATTTATTTGATATTGTTTTGAGAGTAGACAATCTCTACTATAAATAAGCCACATCTTTTTATTTTATTTCTTTTATTTGTTTTTGAGAGTAAATGACCTCTACTATAAATAAGCCATACATTTTTATTTGATTAGTTATTTAGTTTTTGTATTTTATTCTTATCTTTATTTTAGTTATAGTCTTCTTTGATTAATAATTTATACTATTTAATCAATTCAAATCTTGAATTATATCAATTACTAGTGGCTTTACTCAGATAATCTTTATAATTTCTTTGATTTATTTTATTCTTTCATTATTTAATTACCCTTTGTTAAGATAATATCTGTAAATATTAACACAGATCTTAGAAATCTTTATTATTATTGAAAGTTATAGTCTAATTCCCCTCTCATTACCCTTTAATTATTTCAGTCTCTCCTAATCCTATATTGTTAGAGTGAATTAAAGTGAAACCCCACTTACCAATTTGCCATAATAATATAATTAATAAATCAAATTTATATTAATTATTTAAGATATATAATATATCATCTAAAAAATTTTTAATATTTATTTATATAAAAAATATATCATATTATATTGAAGTTATTAAAAAGATTTATAAAATATTAATTATATAAAATATTAATTATATAAATAAATTAAATTAACTTTCTTGATAATTATTACTTATTATCAAAATTAATTATTAGCTGATGATATTTTATTAGATATTAGTCAAGATAATATATCTCAAAATTATCAAGTTTTTTTTAAAATTTAAATATCTATTTTTTATTTATATATATATATAATAGATTTTTTAATAATATATTAATAAGTATTATTAACTATATAAATTAAAAATATATATATTCTTATAAATTGATTAATTTATTTTAATTATTTTTTTTAAATTATCTTCTTGATTTTCTTGAAATTTATTTTTTAAAGATTTATAAGTAATAACTAATAAACAAAAAAATTAAGATAAATTTTTATAATATTTTTTATTATTAATATTATTATATATTAATATTATATTTTTTATTTTTGATTAGATTTTATAAAAAGAATATTATATAAAGCATAAAAATTTATTTCCTAATAATTAATATATTAATAATTATTATCTAATTAAAAATCTAGTATTATTAAAAATCAAGAATATAGTTATATAATTTTAATAAGATAATATTAAAATATTTATATTTAAATTTTACTCTAATAATTAAATATTATTCCTAAGTTATCAAATAAAAATCTAATTTTTTAATATAATTATATATATATCTAATTTTTTTTAAAATGAATTTCAGATATATATCCAATTTATTTTATTTTTGTCTTATTTATAATATGAAAAATCCTAACTTATTAATAAATTATATAATATTTAAAGACTATTAGAGTCTTTAATAAATTGAATTTTAAAAAAATAAACTGATAATAATCTTGTTTAAGATATATACTACTAAATTATTAGTCAGAATTTTAATTTAAGTTTTAAATAAAGAGTTATAAGTATTTTAAATCAGATACTTGTTATATATTTTAAAATATATTATGTAAAATACTTATTTTATTGGTTAATTATAATAATATATTATATATAAATAATTTTTATTAAATTCAGTTTTAGATTTAAGTCTCTAAGAAATTAATTATATCTAATTATTTTAAGAAATATTTGCTTAATTAGCATTTATATAAAATTTTAAGAGTCTTTATATATTATTAGTTATATTATATAATATATCATATTATATATTATTACTTAATATCTGCTATATTATTAATTATATTATATAATATATTATAATATGTTGCATATGCAAAATTAAAATAAATTCACATGATTACCAAGTTAAGATTTTTCATACTATATGTAAAAAGTTTTTTTTATTACTAATATATTATTAGCTCTTTATATATCTTTATTACTTTAATTTTTCAAGATATTGAATCTATAATCTTCTCAAAAATCAATACATCAAACTTTGAGCATATTTTCTTTAGAGTAGTCTTGAGCTTTTTCATGATTCTTGAAAAGCTTTTATACTTTTGAATAATATTCTCTAGTTATTTCTATAAAATTAGATCAAAGTAATACTCTAATCATTAATTTTCTCTATTTGAATCAATTTTATGGCTTCTTTTTCAAGTATTATTTTTTTAAAACATTATATTCTCTCAAATTAATGAATAAAATAGCTCAGAATGTCTTTTTGACTTCTTGTATATATGTATTTTTTCTTGATGTTAAGAGCTTATGATTTTTCAGATAATGATAAATTTTTATTTTTTCTGTTTTTTGTACTTGGCAAGAGACCATTATATTATCATCAGATTATAGCACATTTTTCTTGCAGTCTAGTATATGTTTAAAAGAAAAAAAATTTAAGATTAACAATAACAAAAAGAAAAAAACATAAAGCATAATTTTTCTATGTTGTTACACATGCAAATTGTAAAATATTACATGTACATGTGTTATACAATTCATACAAATGGTAGCTTCAGAGTGAGGAAAATTTATTTTAAAAAATCTACCGAAATTATTTCTCACGTATATATGCGTAATATTAAAACGAATTATATAACTGATTTTTACAACCAAATTAATATTTCAGGAAAGAGAATTGAATAATTATTATTCTTTTCAAAGGCGAAAGTTTTCCCTGTAATCAATACAGATTGTCAGTTGGTATCGGGACTTAATTTTTAGGAAGTTGTTTTAGTAAAGTAGTAGGTGATGTCATATTTATTTAAATTAAACTAAAATCAAATACATCTTTGCTATCTTTCCTGTGATTCTGTTTTCTTACACTTTTCAAATTAAAAACTTATTAAATAATCCTTATTAATGTTAATAAATATAATAAATATATATAAATCTATAACTTACTATCTACGAAAAGTTCATGTATAATTAGCACCCACTCCTCTCCCCCCCCCCCCAATGTTCAAAGTCTATCTAAGAAAAGTCCATTATATTTACAACTCTCACCAGAATTATTTACAAACCAATAGGATGCGCGTTGTGACTCGTAAGTAAAATTTAAAGAGAAAAATGATGTGATATATACAAAAGTCCATTATTCGAATGCTATATGCAAAGTCTATTGTACGAATGCTATACTACAAATGTCTTTTTTTGATGTTATACACAAATTCTATTGTACGAATGCTATAATACAAAAGTCTTTTTCGATGTTACACAAAAGTCCTTTTTTTGAATTCTAATATACAAAGTCCATTATATAATGTTGTACAATCTTATTGTCCGAATATAATATACAAAATTCTATTGTCCGAATGTAAATATACAAAATCCATTGGTTGATGTTATACAAGTATATTGTCCGAATGTAATATACAAAATTCTATTGTCCGAATGTAATATACAAAATTCTATTGTCCGAATGTAATATACAAAATTCTATTGTCCGAATGTAATATACAAAATTCTATTGTTCGAATGTAATATACAAAGAAATTCTTTTTCATAAAGCTATACTGCCCCGACCATCGCAGCAAGCGGTCTCAACCAAACCATCAAGCGTTGAGTCCCATGTAATAATGAATTTTTGTTTGTAATGAAAGGAATGGATGTATTGTGTTTATTATATATCAAAAGAATGTTTAAGTGTATGGTATATTATGGATATCGTCGTTGGGTGGATGCCTTTTTATATTGCTTTCAACTAACTAGCCTATATAAATAATTAGAATTGAATTGTATTACATGTATAAATAATATCAGTTTGTAAAATGTTCCCACCGATGACGCCGATGATCTCATGGAAGGATGTAGAAAAATTACGGGGTAGATTATTAACATGTCATGTACTATTAACTATAATTTTTTTTCACCGCAATGTGTTATTCGAAAAAACCAATCATCGGTAAATTTTTATGTTTACGCTGAGTTCATGTATTATTTAAGACAAAGATAAACATATACCCAAATTTGTCCAAAGTTGGTTTCAGATGAGTCACCCATCCAGAACTCAATTACCCTAGCCACTGCAAAAAAAGTGTCTGATCATGTGAATGTTTAAGGTGTAAACCAATCAAATCGCAAGATCAATGTGTAACAGAATTATAATTAACAACTATTATCGTTATATTTATTATCTTGCGATTTGATTGGTTTACCCCTTAAACAATCACACGATCCGACACTTTTTTTGCCGTGGCTAGGTATTAGAACTCAGTCTATCATTGATTCACACCATTTCCTCCTGTACATTACTATTATCACTAATAAAAAAATCAAGAGGAAGATCTTCTTTCACTGGGACTTCGGCTGCATCACGAATTTCTTTAAAGATTTCAACATCGTTTCATAAATTTCTCACGGATTTCATGTCGAGTAGTATTTTTTTGTAATGCAATTGTATATTTCAGTAATATTGCGAGATGGATCTATTTTGAAAATAATCTTTTTCGTGTTTTTTTAAGGCTTACCATACGAAATGATTCAGAATGAATAAAAATAATTACCCGCCATCCCTTTGGTGGGAAGTTGATCTAGATCAACTTTCCGTTTTAGTTTGATCTTATAATGAAACACTTGCAACTTAATTCCCTTATTTTACTCGCTTTAAAAATTCTAACTTCTGAGAATTCTTGATTTCTATCTAACCAGAAACATTCGTTCGTTTTTTTCATCCGAAACTATTATAAACATTTGCTTATTTATGTAATAAGAAATTGTTGTATAGGAGTATTGATTCTAGTAAGATGATGAAAAAGCGCTATACGAATACAGGGCAACACCTGCCGGAGCGTCTTCTGTCATTCTAGCATGAACAACACCAGTTAGAATGCAAGACGGAAGCCAGTGACCATTACCTATGCCACTACCATAGTCTGGTATCATATGAAAAATTTATTGACATAATTTACATGTACATGTACATGTAATAACGATAACTGCAAATAAAGGAACGTGAATTAAGGGGAAAAAAAATCTAATGTGTAATAATATTGATATGAATATCAATAAATAAAAGTTTAAATTATCATCTGCGAGAAAAAATATAACGCACTTATAAGGCCATACTCCTTTGATGTTATTCATTTTAATTCGCTATAAAAACTTCTAGCGGATTTGTGGACGTGACTTGCAGTAACAGAGGTGAATGCTGGCGCGCCCAAAGCGCCCATCTTTCCGTATTTTTAACATAATTGCGGTTAACGTATCTAATGATTTCGGGAATAGGACCGCATTTTGAATTATCTCCTCGCAACCGATTCTTGTCTTTTTATGCATCGCAAGCACCAATTGGTTGCACATCGCCGGATGACATACTTTTTGCAATCAAGTACGCATTACATGTACCGTACATAATATTACGTCGCAGCTCTGCTTACCGTGAGTGATGCCCGGGAAAGCGGTCATAATGCCGTTGATTTCGATATTACTTTGGTCACATAAAAAATACTGATGATGCAAAACCACAAATTATTTTCAACGCTTTAGCCACAATATGACTGTTTTCTGTGTTAACAAGGAAGTGCGCACCAGAATCCCAACAGACGTAGCTGCCACGAATATATAGAGTAAAAAGGCGCCATATATGTTTATTAGTATTATGCGTTGCGCCAGCCAACCAAAACGAACTTCTCAGCATTAGCGAAGCAGAAACCTCGAGATAGTTGCTGCGGAATATTTTTTGTGTGTGTATGTGTGAATGCAAAATGCTCCACTTTATAGTTCTCGCTTATCAAAAATTTGAGCGCGTTTTGAAGATCATGTTCCAAATCGATGAGATGAGCAATTAACGGTTCGCGACCTCCGTTCGGTGTAGGTTTTGAGCGAGAGCACCAAGGTGTTTTTTCAGCGAGCTCCTTCACTGTATGATGGTGGCGAGTACGGTTTGCCTCGCCGATTACTAATTGTCTGATTGCTTCAGGCCGTTTCATCCTATCGCTATCTTCAATCGAATGCGCATGGTTAGGCGTGTCTTTGTAACGTTCGATCCGCGTCATCCTAGTTGCAGCGAGGTGTGTAACTTTTATTTTTGCATCACACTGCACCTCCAACACATTTACTGGTTCTCCGCCGTTTCTCGATAGAAACATCTCCTTTCCTTGTGCTAGATTCATTGTGCTTGGTAAAACGGCATGCATAAACGATCCAGGAGTTGCTGTTTTCGCATTACCAAATGATTATACCGAACCCATACATTGGAGACGAACGGCCACCAATCTTCGTGAAACTCCTTTTGAGGAACTTCGAATGGATTGTGAACATTATAAAGACGTGCGTGTTTTTGGTTGATTAACGTTTGTTGGCTCCATTTCAGATGATTTTTTGATGCAGCAAAAAAAAAAGAAAACGAACCTGATTCTCTCAGGTGATAATTCAACGTCACTTAAAAAACTTAAAAAGTAAAAAAAATAAAAAAATAAAAAACGAAAGGGACAGATGCCTTAATTGAAAAGTATGAAGATTTGGATGTTCTTAACGTTCTTATAGCGTGTATAATGTTGGAAATGTGTACAATGCGCAGCGCGTAATGTGTAATGCAGTAAAGTGGTTATTTCTTATTGTATTATAATATAGCGCAGAATTGTTCATAGACGTGGTTCTTATGTAATTATGGTCTAATGTTAATCCGAATTTACTTAATTTGGATTTACAGATTTAATTAATTTGGATTATTACCTGGATTTAGTGTAAACTGCGGTTTCACTCTTGTGACACAGCACCACGTTCCCACAATCTGATAATCATAAAGTCAAATGGTACGGTCCGATTTAAACCATGGTTTGTTCCAGTTTCCTCCAAGTCGTTAACATCCCTCACACGTAAAAATGAAATTACCATAAAAAATAAACACAGAATATGTTATCCACCTCTCACACGTCACAACAAATAAACACAGAATTTGTTATTCACCCTCACACGTAAAAATGAAATCACTCAAACGCCGCATTGCTTTATCAGCAAATAAAATTTTTTTGATTAAAAAATAAATACAGAATTTGTTATTCACCCTTCACCTCAACCAGAAAACAATTCTAGTTTTGCAGTTTTTTTTTATTCATAGCTATTTCAATAAGCTATTTATCAAAACTTGTCGTTTTTTTCCTTTAAAACAAAATCATTACAACTTTGAAAAATGATTGCAAGTACTGATCTCTACAACCTTGTAAAAAAAATAAAGAAGACAGGGATTCCTCGAAATAGTGGTTATATTATAGGCGCAGTGACGGTTGCTACTTTAGCGTATGGTTTAATTTGTCTACATAGACATTCTAAAAAATAATGAAACAAAACATGAAGAGATTAAAAGAGACGAAGTTGATGAACAGGAAAACAAAGATCCCAATTCAACTGTCGCTACTCTGAATAAGTCTTTTCAGATAAATGAAAACATTATTCCTGATAAAGTATCAAATCACTTTAAAGATACCGGAACAAGAAGCAACTACAACAAAAAAGCGGTACAATATGTAAAATACGAGAATGTCCAAGTTGCCAATTCAACTTTGAGTTTACAACTGCAACTCACTTTAGATATCTCTAGAGGATTAATTTATTTAATAATTGATGAAAGTTTATATCACGATATTCGCAGTCAAACTGTTGCAGTCACAAAAGGCGGTCCAATATATATAACAAAAATTGATAGTTTCGTCTTAAATCATTTTTTAGAAGATGTTACCAGAGATATATATGGTGATATTGATAATTTCCAATATATGGAACCAGAGAATCTTAGCGATGATAATTTCCAATATATGGAACCAGAGAATCTTAGAGATGACAATTTCCAATATATGGAATCAGAGAATCGTAGAGATGACAAACATCAATATAATTATGAAACATATAGGTAAATAATTCTATGAATTACATCAGCAATAATTTATGGATTTACAGACTTTTTCTTATTAATTTTATTTTATAATTTTGTGAATAAAGAAGCCCATTCCAGGAGAAAATAAATATTGAAGAAATTTATAATATAGTTCTTGAAGATAAACGAGAACAATTTTCTTCGCTATTGCAAGCTCCCATTGGATGGATGGATGGATATTATAAATAAAGGTAATTGAGATTATTAATATCATATTGATATATTAATAAAAATTAATAATATAAATCTATTCTGTTTAATGATGCAGATTTGAATGATTACAATGCGAAATATTGGGTTGAATATTGTGATTGCTTAAAAGATCAAGAAGCTAATAAGCAAAAAAAAAGCGGCAATAGTAAAAGTTCATGAAGCAGCCGATATGAATTTGACTAAGGCTTAACTTAGTTATGGCCATGGGCTTTGCAAGGGCAAAGAAATTGAAAAAGATAATTCATATTTTAATCTTGGATTCTCTTACAACGAAAAGGAAGGTGATCATGAGGAAATTGTCTGGGAAATGGATTAGATGAATTTAACATAATCAAATCACCACGCAATTTAAAAAGAAAAATCACAACAATACAATTGGACAAAATCGGATCTCTGCAATTGTATATCCACACAGCAATGCTCACCTGTATTATGATTAAAAAGAAAAGGAAGTTGATATATTATACATTTATCCTTATAACATTTACTTAATCATTGCTTACTTTAGTTTAGTAAATCAAAAATAAAATTTGTATATAAAGACAAGCGTTGGCTTGATAAAAAAACAGGTGTGAAAATAATTAATTCCATTTAGAAAAAAAATTGATCGAGCTTTCAAAGCAGCTTAATCGAATTCAGCAGGCAGCATATTCCCCAATTTCGGATTTAACCAAGTGATAGATTCATTTCAAGTAGTAATAGATTCATCTTTGATTTGTTAAACCAGCCTTTGTAAAGATTGGCGCAGGCGACCTTTTGAATACTTAAAGAAACATTCTACCTGTAAATCATTCAGTCTAGCTTTCAATCCCTTGTTTACACCTAAATTTTTCTATTCTAGTAACATCAGAGAAGGACAAGGTCGTTCCGCATAATCAAATGACTCAAAGTGAAACAACATCGGCCAATTTCCTATACCGAGAAATTTGCTATCGTTATCATGTACAATTGTTGGGATGTCGGATGTAGTTATCGAGATATTGGACATCACCGTAAGTTCCCTCCTTTATCTAAATGCAATAGTACGCTAGTACATGACATGATTGATTCATCTTTAGGTATTTACTCCTACGATTTGCTCCTGGGATTAGCGAATGAATGGTTTCGTCATTCGGGTTTTAGATATTGGAACTTATTAGTTATCAATTCAATGATATCCAGATCGCACCACGAGGAGGTTAGTTCCAAACTTGCGATCCAAAAAAATAATATTGGGTTTTTTAGAAAGAGATGATTGGAATTAATGGTTATATATATCCTATAACCAAAGATCCTTTGTGCCGAAATAACCAAAGCAAATACGATGGATTGATTCATTCCATCAAATGATACGAGGACTCTCCGGATCAATTGTATATACCTCATTGATATCCAACCTCATGGCCGGAGTGGTTATTTAGAATAAAAATTATCCTTTGTGCCGAAATAACCAAAGCAGTACGATGATCACTGATTGATTAATCAGAGAACAAAGGACTCTCATTTTAGGTCTGATAAGCCTTCGGACCGATAACTAAGAAAAGTTATCACGATTACTCTCATATGTCAAGATAATCGATTAAGGAGTTATATCGTCAAATATCCCTGAAAACGTCACCAATAAATCTTTGTTAAAGATTTAATCGATGAATGCGGAAACCCAATAAAAACCACAATATTCCTCCAAATAAGAGGTATCTTCTTTGGAATAAAAAAATCAAAATTATTTATGGAACCACAAGTCAAAAGAATTGATGATATTTGTCCTATCAAAATAATTATAAAAAATAATTAGTTTAAATTATAATTAAAAATAACAATGCTATAGTTTAAACTTCGCTATCTTTAATCCTCATACACATCCCAACAATATATTACTGGAAATGATACTTTCATTCTTGTTATTTCCGGGAATATATTGTAGGGATGTGTGTATCCAAAACAATAAAGAAATGATATACCTAGCTCATAAACGCGTCACGTTGGAATTCCAAAAAGCTATTAGATATATATTAGAAATAGAAAATTTGAAAGAACGAGCCGTTAGGATTACTTTTTCATGTGGTTATGATAAAAGAAGCATGATTAAAAAAAATGTTACGGATCCTGTGATTTTAGGTTGTAAACCACAAGATCAATGTGTAACGGAAATTAATGTTAAGTCACTGCCACATGATTTGACCAGCCACATCCTATACACGGGTTGTTAAAATTTGTGATTTAATCTCTTCTACAACCATGATTTTAATAGATCACGAAACTGCAAGGTATTAATTTCTATTTTGAACATTTTATTTCGATTTTATATAGATTTTAGTATAAAGAATGTAATAATATTAAGTAAATTAAATTGGAGAAAGTATAGGCTAGGAGAAACTCTAAGTATTTTTTATTCATATTCATTGAACTATTATTCTTTTACGTAACGAGATTTTGTCAATATCATTCATTAAACTTGAAAAAATCTAAAAATTAGGCGCAGGAACTATGGATCAGTTAAGGAAGTCGTGGTAATTAAAACAGGCGAAAAGGTCGTCATCAAAATAATCAAAAGCGTGATGTAAAGTATCAAGAGGAAGAATGTTCTATTAATTGGTCGCGCATTTATATATAACCTACTTATAATTGACTTCATAAAAAAAGCGCAACAGGTGGTGAATTATTTGATCGTATGTGTGATTGCGGAAAATTTACCGAAGCCGATGCTGTAGAAGTTACAAAAACAGTACTTACAGCAGTAGCATATCTTCACGCGAATCATATCGTGCATCGTGGTAATTATTACGTGTAATTCTTGATTGATTGTTATTTACACTTTTGAAAGATTATTTATCATTAAATTTAAAACCAGAGAATTTATTATATAAGAGTCGAGCACCTGATTCCGCTCTGGTACTGGGTAATTGATAAATGGCACAAATTATAATATCGATCAATTTAAAAATGTAGTAATTCATTTTTTGCTAAATGTTTAGAATTGCAAAAGTTCATGAAAGATGACGATGATATTCTAACTACTTATTGTAGTTCACCTGGTTACGTCGGTAAATTTTGTTTCTTACGACTTCAATCATCTTAGTATATCATCAATATAATAATAATTTAATACATATGATTCTTGCAATAGCACCAGAAATTTTAAATCGAGTTGGATATAATAAATCTGTGGATCTTTGGAGTATCGGGTATTAGAAATGAGCCTTTTTTTTAGTAATTCTTATAATTTTCTTAATAAATTGCATTGACCTCATTTATATAGGATTATTACATATGCGCTGCAAGCATGTTACTAAATGTTGATCAGATGAGATGGAATTAAATTCTCGATTTAATTTTCTCAAATGAATATAGATTATGTGGTTATGCACCGCCTCGTAATGAAGATCGATTTGCCACAACTGAGGAAAGAAATGGCTTACGCGTAGAATTTCACGATCGCTATTGGAGAAACATTTCATCGGATGATATTATTATCCAAATATTCTTCCCTTTTGCGCTATTCAAAACTTAATCAACCATCATAAATATTAAACAAAGAACGATCCTGACACTTATTCTTTTTTATAAATATTAAGCCGAAATTTTATTATTCACATACTAAATTACGATCCGAAAAAAAGGTCGACCGCAGAGCAAGTGGTAAACATAAATGGCTTACGGGTAAAACGGCAATGGACATTGACTTACAATGACTTTGTCGAGAACTTTAATGCCCGTAGAACATCGATGGAAGTTGTGCAAGCGGTAAACAGACTCGAGAAAAATGCTACAAAGAAACCTGATAATGGTGATGATGAGGAAGAACTACAAAATGTGCAAGAAAATCAAAATCTTAATCAAAAGCAGGCCCAGAATATCGAAACGGATCCAGATGTAAGGATAAGTTGATAGATTGATGAATTATATTATTAATGTACTTGTAGAATTTCAGTTATCATTATATATTTATATTCTGTGTTCAATGTAATATAGCATAGTAATTGTTAAAGACGTGCATGTTAAAACATACAAGTAGTAAATTTATTCATTTGATTAAATACACACCCCTACAATATATTACCGAAATCCTAAAAACGAATCTGCCACTTTGAAATCCAATATCTCAAAATTCAATGATCCAATTTAAATGAAAATACTCCATTAAATTTGTCCCGACTCCACGAATCTTATGGTAATATCTTTATTTAAATGAGATCACTGGATTATGAGAAATTGGGTTCCAAAATGATAGTTTCATTTTTGAAATTTCCGGTAATATATTGTAGGGGTGTGTATCTCATTAACGATAATTATATATTCATCAAAGGCAAATGTTAAGATTTTATTTCTAATTTTTTCAATAAATTCCGGCGTGGTTTTGTATTATTATTGCATACTCATGCACGTTAAGCTGACAGAAGGGTTACCTACTGTAAATCTATATATTTTGTGGCATAAAAGAAAATATATAGTTAAAACATCAGCAAAAAGATAAAACTCAAACCATTTTTTTATTAATAATAAATTATTTAATTAATTATGAATATTATATAATAATTAGAATAATTTAAATTTTTATAATAATATTTTTTTAAATCACTAAATTTATATATATATTTAATATTAAATTATTCACAATATTTATTTACTTTAAAAAACTAAAATTCAAAATCTTTTTCATAAGATTTTGCTCTATATTCTGATAAATCTTCTGTATTATTTATAATATTATATTTATATTCATCATTAAAAATATAAAAATAGCTTTGAATATGTGCTTTGAGAAAACTTAATATATTTATAAGTCTTTATATTTTGTATTATTATAATTTTTTAAAGAATTATTAATTCTTTTTTTATTTGTTAAATATGTTGAATTCTTTATAATTATCAAAAATAAAAAATATTTTCTTTGTAAATTAATTCAAAAATCTCTTTTTCAAGAGGTTGAGTTTCTAAAATCAAGCTATTTTGAAAGAATAGACTATTAAAATTGATTGATTTTCTTGTTTGGTAAATAGTTTGAAAAAATTTATTATTATCTATCAATCAAATAGATCAATTTTCTTTTTGATTATTTATAGATTTATTTTCTTCATATAAATATTAATTTTCTTGATTTTTTTGATAAATTTTTTTAAGAAGTTTTTGATAGATTTGAATAATATATTATAAAACTTTAACATTAATAAAAGAATTATTATTATTAATTAGTATAATAATTTGATAAAGAATTACATATAATATTTATAAAATTATTATTATTATATTAAATAAACAAGTTTTTAAAATATTTAAGATCTTATATAAATAAATTAATTATATAATAAAATTTAATTGATTTAAATCTTATTTTTTCTTTATTAAATTATTATAATTAGATATTAATAATAAAGAAAAATAAGATTATTAGATAATAATCATTTTATTAATTATATAATAATAATTCTTTTTCAATTTAATTAATTTCAAACTTGTTTTTTCTCTATTAAATTATTATAATTAGATAAATATCATTTAATCAATTATATAATTAAATTATTTTATTTAAATTAATAATAAAGAAAAATAATATTATTAGATAATAATTATTTTATTAATTATATAATAATATAATAATTCTTTTTAATTTAATTAGTTTCAGACTTATTTTTTCTTTATTAAATTATTATAATTAAACAATTTTTATTTAATCTATTAGAGCTTATGTTGAACTGGATTCGAACTGATTTGAATCTAAATTCTTTAAATTATTTAGTTTAAATATTTGAAGAATTAATTCGAATTATTAAATTAATTTGAATTAAGAAGTGATTTAAATTATTATATTAATTCAAATTAAGCAGTGATTTAAATTATTTAATAGATTTGAATCAAGTAGTAATTCAAACTCTGATATAAAAGAAATAACTTATTAATCTATTTTTGCCAGGCTATATATAAATAATATTAGCTAAAAAGGGAAAGCAGAGATATTTATCACCTATTTTAAATATTTTTAAAATAATAATAATAAATTACTAATCTTAGTTTATCAATTTCATCACTTTTAACAGTACTAGATCTTTTATTTACAATATTTATAACTTCTATAAGTTTATTATTCTTTTTTAAAATATCTATTACTATTTTTACTAATTTATTATTAATAAAAAAAGAAAAAGTGATAAAATTAATCTTTATTCCAAGTCTAATGAGTTATAAAAAGTGAAAAATTATTATTAGCTTATTGAAATATATAAAAAACTTATATAATATAAATTATATATATATAAAGAACTTGAAAAAAGTTTAAATCTAATAATTTAACTAGTAGTATAATATAAATAATCTATTTATTTTTGGCTTGGCTTTCTATATAAATTTCTTATTAATATTTTTATTATTATCTTGCTATTTTATATAAATTTCTTGATGATTTATAATATTTAATAAAAAGATTATACTTGATCATAATAATTTTTATAATTATATCAATAATATTTGTTTTAAAATTTTAATTTACTTAAAATAATTATTATTTATTATCTAATTTCTTCATCATTTAACTATTTAAATTACAAAAAATATCTTTAATTATTCTATTTATTTAATAATTATTTATTTTTTTCTTCTAGTTATTTATTATAATTTTTTTATTTTTATTTATTTTTTAAATTCATTTTATAAGAATATATTAAATATATAATTATTTTATATTCTTTTTATTTAAGCTTTAAAAATTAATATTTATTAAAAATTAGATGAAAAACTTAATATTACAAGAAAATTAATGAATAATAAAAAATTTTAATTTAAAAATTTTATTTATTATCAATATAAATTAAACTTGATAAGTAATATCTTTAAATTTATTTCTAATAAATAAATAAATATAATAATAAAATATATTTGTCTTATATAATTTAAAAAAGAAGTAATTAATATTAAATAGAAAAGAATTTAATTTTAAAAATAATTTTAAAATAATTTTTTTTTTGAATTTCAAAAAATTAAATTTGATAAAAATATTATTAATAACTAATTAAGTTTTGATAACTTTAAATTAACTAATTTGAATATAAAATACTAATATTTTTATAAGTCACTTAATTTTTAAAAAATTCTCAATATAGAATTAAAATCTAAATATTAAAAATCTTTTTTATTATTATAATACTGAGCTTTATTTAATTTTACTATATTTGATTTTTTTATAACTTTAATAATATAATTTATATAATTTATAATTATTTTGTGATATAATTTCTTAATCAATTTAAAATTATTATTATACTTGAATTTAATATATTTAAATATTATAAAATTTAATTTAATATTTTTATAATAATTATAAATTATCAAATATAAATAAAATCAAATAATATTATTATTTTTATTTTAATTATTTATATTATTACAAGTAATCTTTAAATATTTTTTATCTTTATTTAATTTTTTTATTCTATTAAATATCAAACTTAGTATATTATTAGAATTTTTATTAATAAATTTATTTTTATTAAGAATTTAATTAATTTATTTACATAATATTTTTATTTTAAATATTAAATAAATATATTTTATATAAATTAAGATAATAAATTTTACTTATTTATTAATTAAAAAAAATATATAAATATTTTATATTTAATTATAACTGTAAGAATTTTGATTAAATTATTTTCTTTAGTCTTAAATCTTTATTTTATACTATTATATAATAAAATATCTTTTATATTACTTTTATTAAAGAATTTTTCATAATAAATTCATAATTATTCATTTATATATTTAATTAATTAGATTTTATATATTATTATATAATAAATATCATATTATTATTATAATAATATAAAATTTCTTAATTTCATAATCTTTTTTTAGTTATATAGTACCAGAAGTCTTAACTCAAAAATTTGTTTCAAATTACTGCATGCAATATAAATTAGCATATCACATGAAATATGAATATACATAATATGCTAATCTATATTATAATGATAAGTTTAATCATAATTTATTTAATATATTATAATAATAAGATATAAAATGCATCATAATAATAAGACATCACTTTATTAACAAACTAATAATAATAAGATATCATTTTATTAACAAACTAAAAAGGAATATTGAAGTTAAGAATATAGATTTATGCAAAAATTATTAAGAAAAATATCAAAATAACTCTTTATGAATACTTAACTGTTCAATTTATAAAAAGAAGGCTTATTTTTCTTATGAAAGAAAAAAACAAAATTATTATTCACTATTGTGAAAGATTTATTAAATTGGAAAAACAACTAGAAAAAAAAGAATTAGAAGTAAATATCAATTTTTTATTACTTTATTTATTTTCTTCTTTCCCCATGTTCATTTTTCTATACTTAATTTCTATTATTTTCTTAATATTTTCTGATAATCACCTATGTGATTTAAATTTACTTACAGTCCACTTAACAACTCTACTCTCTAACTCTTTATTATATGCATCTATATATCTTCATGACTTATGTGCAAATTTACAGACTATAGTTATAGGCATACTATTGAGAACTTTAGGAATCTGATTCAATAAGCATATATAATTATAGTTACATAGGCATCTGGTTTCCTGCTTTAAAAACTCCTAGTATTACTCTATGAAATTATATTCACAATAAAATTTTGAGTAATATTTGAAGATATGATCTGCACTCACAATCACTTCATGCAATATTAATTATTGTTCACAAAAATTAGGCTGGGATGATAAAATCTTTTATGCATAATAATTTAATCTATCAGATTATCATATTTTTCTGAGCATTTCTTACATATTAAATGAAGTTTTTTTAATGATCAAAAATTACATCCCATAAGTATTTGCTTAATATCTTTTAATTGATCTCTTAGTTTTTTGATCAGATAATTATCAGAAAATATTA